GAGACGTAACATTACTCTTACAGACAAATGTGGTAACTGAGTTAAGAATGTAGAAGAACTAAAGAAAAAAGTGTTCTTTAATATTGGTTAAAATTATTAATGGTTGTGTAATAGTGCAATTCTTGCACGTCAAAATGATATTGTTCATGACATAAATGATCAATTATTGCAAAAGGTTTCCGGACAGGAGTTCACCTACAGCTCAATTGTCAGTGTTCCAGTTACAGTTGATACTGTAAATTAACCAAATGAATTCCTGTATTTTCTCTAACCACCAGGAATGTCAGGTCACTTTATGAAATTAAAGGTTGGTTCATCAGTAATGTTGTTGAGAAATTTGATCCTGTAATTTGATCCTATGTAACGGCACAAGTTTAGTTGTTAAGACTTTACTGCCACATGTTATTGAATCAACAATTACAACTGGTCATGCCAAAGGTGAAGATGTCTTCATTCCAAGATTTCCTTTGCTACAAAGTAATTACTCCTTTGAATTTAGAAGACTCTAATTCCCAGTTACAGTTTGTATTGCAATGTCAATTAATAAGGCACAACATCAAAGTTTATAGCTTGCTGGATTGTTCCTAAAGCAGCCTTGATTTTCACATGGTCAATTCTATGTAAGATGTTCAAGGGCTGGATCTCGTCAAAATCTGTTTATATTGTTACGTCTCCGTTCGTTCGTTAATTAATTTTCCGTAAATTCGTTCCAACGAAACTTTAGCGACACAAGTCCTTTCTTAAATAAAACTGGTTTATTCTTTCCGAATAACTCTTTACCGATACACTTAATTTCAACAGTCGCTCTATAACAAACGCTAGAACGTCTCACGTACTCGTGCTCGACAATACTCAGTTCAATTACACAATGTCCCGTCACGTTGTGACCATCTTATATATACCAGACTACCCCCAATCTAGTAGTCTCCCGATAATTCACGAAGGTTCGAGAAAGACGTGGCGTGATACTAGTCACGTGACCTCGCTGACGCAACAATATTGTCAGAAGAGGGAACAACAGCCAATATGGTATATCAAGAGGCTTTAATTCAGATTATGTAATTTTTGTTTTAAAAATAAAAGGTTTAGTTAAAAATTAAAATGTTATAAAAAAATGAATTTTTCAAATAAATGTTTTTAAAAATAATTTCATTTTGTTCTTAAAAACCTATTTCAAGTATTTTGGACACCTATACAGGGAACGAGTAATTCAGTTAGTAATAAATATAAAAACAGTATCATATCCTTTTTCAGATAGTTTAATTTTTCGCTGTATCTTATTCTCGCAGGCCTAATATAATACACACAGTAATAAAATCTGGTATACAAATAGAAAATTTTCTCTTTCTCCTAAATGTCTTATGAAACATGTATTGTTGGAAGCTATATTTTTAACGTTGTAATTTGTATATTAGCTAGAGAGAGAGCTGCGGGTCGTAATGATAATGTTAAGTATATTCAAATCATTTCCTAAATTTTCAAGAAAGTTCTAGTAACTAAGTTACCAGTTCATGATGGGATGAGAACACTCCCTCTAGATAAACAGCAATATAAACACCTAAATTTAAAAGAAAAATTATCCTACAACATTGCCCCTTCACTGGATTGTGAAGTTCCTTGAGATTTATATTACACAAAGAGAATAATAGTACATTATACATAAACTTCCATAATTAACCATAAAGTAACTCTTTACAGTTGACAACACTAATATTCATAAATACAGACATTACAATCATTGATCAAATATGTGAAACAAAGTATAAAGAAAACTTTACGTTAATGAAACAATTTTTTCTACTTTTATTCATTTACTGTCTCTAAAATGAGTAAATATTATCAGATATTTTTGGTGTTTTTCTGTCATGTGGCTTATGGTACAAAGATTGGATGAACTCTTCACCTTTATCAACATTTGATGTCTTATCACTAGGGAAATTCTCTTCAGGTAGATAGTCAAGAGAATCCAATAGTGGTTTCATATCTGGTGATGATCTGTAAATAGTCTTAATAGGAACCTCGAGCTCTTCGGCAGTTTGATTTATTTCTGGCAACATTTTCTCTGAAGTTAACCATTTTGCTTTTCTTTCACATATGGTCACAGTGGATAACCTTTAATTTGTGCCACCTTATTTACTGTATTCTGCTCTGTTGTTGGTTGTCTTTACAATCTTGTGTTTCCATCTTTGTTGTCACTGGAAGTGCGACCTCTGGTGGCATAATTCTTATATAGATTTCCTGGTTATAAACTATGAAACTGTTTGAAGCAAGTCTAACCATAATTCCGTGTTTGTACATGAAGTCTATTCCCAATATGCACTCTTCTTCTATGTCAAAGTGACGGTGTCGTCTAACTTTCCTTTTTGAGAAACTATATTATCACTTGTTGTTTGCATCAATTCATCTTCTCGCTTCATCTCTGTAGGCAGTTTCCCAGTTCATATCAAATAATAATATATATAGATCCAGTGTCAATCAACAAAAAACTTCCCATAAATAATTCCATTGGCTTGTGGGCTGTTTCTTTAAATAATACATTCCTTGTTTATACTGAGGCAGATGAAGCATTCTCATCTTCAGGATACCATATCCCTGGTTCATTGGCTAGAAGCCACAGTGGTGATCTGTTATGAAGCTTTGTTCCTTTGGTTCTGGTCAGCACGTTTTTGTAAAGAAACTAAGACGTGTTTTTTTTTTTTTATGTGTAGAAAATAAATTTGTAAATGCTCTTGCTGTAAAATATGTCGTTTTAAACCTCTTGAATAAGGTTAATAATGTATTTTATCAAAATTCTGTTATCAGAACTGCACGTGTTTTCTGTTGTAGGGTTTTGGGGCGTTGTAACTGGTTGCCTAAAGCTATCTCATTAACTGTCTTTTTTATGCCAACCTGATCAGTGACGAAGGGTTCTGGATGTACCACTACATTAACTGT